CCATTATTCAAGAAAAAAGATAGGGAAAAAACAAGGAAAAGGCAGGCCGGTGAATCTAACGTCTATGGTAAGAAAACTGTTGGAAAAAGTCTCGAGGGACAGAATTAATGAGGTTGTAGACTTGCTTGCCAACCCAATATATTTGATTGCAGACGTTTCATCACTCTACTAGGTAACATCGTCAGTGGACCTCTGGCGAAGCGTTGGTGTTCTATCCCACTTGTTATTTACATGCCTCAGTTTGCTCGGGTGGTTGGCATCACTTCTGGTTCTGCTTCTCAGTGGTTTGTATATTCGGTCCAGTCCAATGTGTTTGTTGATAGAGTTCTGGTTGGAATGCCAAGCCTCCAGGAATTCCCTAACATGTCTCTGATTGGCTTGCGCTATTATGGATGTGTTGTCCCAGTCGAATTTGTGTTCTTTGTCAGTGTGTATCAAGAGCAGTGAGAACTGGTCATGTCTCTTGGTGACTAGTTGGTGTTTGCGTATCCTTATTGTCAGTTTTCTTCCAGTTGGGCCTATGTAATGTTTCTCACAGTCCTTGTGTGGCATTTTGTTGGTTTTATAGGTTGTGCATATGGGATCCTTTACATTATTCACTAGTTGTCAGTTTGTAGGCTACTCTGATACCTAGGGCTCTCAGTAGTCTTGTGGTCAGCTCTCATACATGTCTCTGATATATGGTAGGGTGACTAGTGTGTCTGGCCATGTTGTGTCTTCTTGTTGTGGTCTGTCATGAAGGTAACAGCAGATTGTGCTTTTTTGGGTATCCATTCCTTTTAAAAACTGCCTATAAGTGCTCCTGTTCTGCTTTGCGCAATTCCAGGTTGCTGTCATGTGTTGTGGCTCCTATAGAGAAAGACCACCCATACAGACCAGATACTTCCCTAGATCAGAAACCACACCAACACCCATAAACAGACTGCATCAGGATATTATTCAAACAAGCCACAACACACTGCAGATGAAGGCAGCACATTTGATGAAATCTACATAGACTTCATGATGGCTTTTAACAAGTTCTTGCATGATAGACTGGTTAAGAAGCTAAGAGTCCAGGGGATCCGTGGCATTTTGGTAAATGGAATCCAAAATTAGCTTTGTGACAGGCAGCAAAGGGTGACTCGAAGCCGGTGTCCATTGGCATAAGAGTTTTTCGTGCTGCTGCCGCCTTAGTGTTTGTAGCGTGCATCAGTGATCTATATATTCAAGAGAAGTACGATCAGTTAAATTTACAGATGATATGAAAATTGGCAATGGCAATTACCAAGGAGGAAAGCCTTAGACTACAAGACAATATAGATGAATTGGTTAGATGGGCTGAACAGCAGCAACTGGACTTCAATCATAAAAAGTACAGGGTGATGCATTTTGGGAGGACTAACCAGGCAAGAGTCTGCGTTCAATGGTAGGATCCTAGGATATATGAAGGATCAGAGGGAACTTGGTGCGCACATACTAGGGGAAGCACAGACACAATAGGCCAAAGGGGCTCTTTCCATAAAAATTCTATCACTATGTGCTACATGATACCATGCTATATCCACGTCACACCTGCAGCATGTGCCGGCAGATTACAGGGTAAACAGTGAATATGCTGAAGTCAAATGGCCGTGTCTCTAAGTCTAAGGGGAATGGTCCTCAGTCAATTCAAGGGGGATCGTTGTCAGTCAAAGGAATCAGCCTAGGAAGTTGAGAATATCAGCTGAAATTGGCCAATGAGCATGCAACCAGACAGGGGATTGATTAGTGCAATGTCAGTCGGGAGCTGCAGAGACATCAGGCAGGGGTTTGGTCATTCAGCAGCATGGGCTACCTTTCCAGGTCAATGGTGTGGGATTGTGGGAAACAATCAATCAATCAGTCCCTAATAAGATTCAAGTTATGCAATACTAAGCACTAACAGCGGTGCTATTTTAGGCATAGTATTCATGTATCATAGAATCCCGCAGATCATCCCACCCACATCCATCACCCTATCGACACATCTCTGAACACAGGCAATTTAGCACGGCCAATCCACCTAGCCTGCACATCTTTGGACTGTGGGAGGAAACCAGAGCACCCAACAGAAGCCTACACAGACACAAGGAGAATGTGCAAACTCCACACAGACAGTTGCCCAAGGGTGGAATCGAATCAGAGTCCCTGGCGCTGTGAGGCAGCAGTGCTAACCACTGAGCCCCCGTGGTGATTGGTCATCTTCATCCTGAATGACAGAGTAGGCTTAACTTCTGCTCCTTGTTTCAATCTCATCACGGCCCACGATGACCCCTATAAATTCCACCCATAATACTAAAATGATTCACTTTAGAAAATCATGGCTTCAAGTTACTGATGTAAGAAATCTGTGACAAATTTATATTTATAAAAATGTAATGGAAACACATTGCTGTGAACTGATTTTGTTATTTCTATTATTGAAATAAAACAAAGGAAATCAAATTTGTTTATTCCCATTTTAATTAATTGATTGTACTTAGACATTGACATACATACAATTAAATGAAAGGAAACATTTAATGACACTGATCAGCAAAATGTCCTCCCATGCTTAACACTAAAGAGACCAAAATTCTGAATTTAAGAAAGCTTTTCCTTTGCATTAGTGATAAAGACACTAAATAATTTTAAAATACCATTTCCTTGCCTTTTTACATCTGAACTTGAGCATTCCAACATGCAACTGTCCAACCTTCCAATTTCACCTTGAAGTTATACAAGGCTCTACTGTCTCACAAACCATCCCTGTGCTTGCTAACTTATGCTGGTTTCAGGTTAAGCACCACTTCAACTTAAAAAAAAAAGTCCTCATTCTTGTTTTCAAATCCCTCCTTGGTTCACCCCATCCTAAGTTTTGCCAACACCACAACTGCACCTCCCAGTCACGAACCATTTCAACTCCCCCTCCCATTCCTCAGACGACATGTCCATCCTGGGCATCCTGCAGTGCCACAATGATGCCACCCGAAGGTTGCAGGAACAGCAACTCATATTCCACTTGGGAACCCTGCAGCCCAATGGTATCAATGTGGATTTCACAAGCTTCAAAATCTCCCCTCCCCCTACCACATCCAAAAACCAGGCCAGCAAAAACAGCCTAACCTGTTCTTCCTCCCACCTATCCCCTCCTCGCACCTCAAGCCCCAACCCCATTTCCTACCTACTAACCTCAACCCGCCCCCTTGACCTGACCTATCTCCTCCCTACCGACACTCACCTTTACTGGCTCCATCCCCGCCTCGTTGACCTGTCTGTCTCCTCTCCACCTATCTTCTCCTTTATCCATCTTCTATCCGCCTCCCCCTCTCTCCCTATTTATTTCAGAACCTTCTTCCCCTCCCCCATTTCTGATGAAGGGTCTAGGCCCGAAACGTCAGCCTTCCTGCTCCTATGATGCTGCTTGGCCTGCTGTGTTCATCCAGCTCTACACCTTGTTATCTCAGATTCTCCAGCATCTGCAGTTCCTACTACCTCTGATACAATTTTAACCCTCAAAAATACTTGCATTCTTGTAGTTTTGGCCTCTTGATCACTGATTTTAATCATTTCAACTTTGGTGGGTATGACTTCAACTGTCTTGGTCCTAATTTAATTTAATTCCATCCTGAAATCAGTGCACCTCTTTCCTCTTTAATACCAAGCTTTTGCTCACAATCCCTGGTAATCTCCTCACATAACATGTTTTGTAATGCTCCTGCAAAGTGTTTGGGACATTTTACAATGTTACATGCGAAATACAAGTTGTCGCTGTTTCTATTTAATATAAAACTTAGTACTTAATTTGCAGTTACACATTATACCTTTCATATATAATATATGCGTATGACTCAGACACTGCTGTGATTGATTCTAAACTAAAATTGTAACTATGATAAAATGATGTGCATTTTATACATGTGAAATTGTCAGATTTTACATGATCCTTAATTTTCTTAAGAAGTGTTTAACACAACATTACAGAAGTTTTATTCCCCTCTTCCCACTCAAAGACTCAAATATCTTTTTCATTAAATCAGCTTAAAGATTACTACAAGAGTAACAAAAACATTTTCACATCAATCTCCCCCTAGAGAAAGAATGGATTACTCTAACTCAACTTTTTAGAATACTAATATATCAAATCAATCCTAAACTAAATGCTGTGTTTTAAAAATCTACACTTAAAAGCTGGAAAATAACAATGATCTTTGAAGATAAACTACCTACATTGTTCTCAAAGTACTTTTAAAACTCAATATCCATTGCTTCTTAAAATGAACCTTCCTAATTACAAAAATGGAACAAAATGTCAACTGGAACAGAAAAATACACCATGTACCAAACTGGACATTTTTAATCAAAGGGTATTAATGTCCATCAATAAATACTTGTAATTAAACTGAAAAATCAATATTTGCTACTGACAAATTTTACAACAAATTATTGCTTCAAGTCTTAGTCATTCAACACTTGGATTTGAACCTCATTTTATATGCTGTGTATAATGCAATGACCTTGAATGGCAAGTGTGATTATAATACTGCATCTATAATACTGCTGGAAAGAAAAATATCTTATGAACACGAAACAATAGAGCACACCACTACAATAATATGTACTTGAATACATCATGTAGTAAGGCTCCTAATTCCGTTGACCTCCTGCTCAGTGTGATTTTGAAATGCTATCTATTCTAATGCCCAAATCTGAATAATTTGGAACTTCACTGTTCACACTTCTAACAATATTCTTTTGCCTGGGTTAAGGACTGTGATGCAACATGCATACCGCTGATGTAAATCTTTATAATGAAATCAAAAAAGTCTCCAATGTCACATTCAGTAACACATTATTCCTTCATTCTAAATTACCCTAGATTAATTAATTTTGTATTTTTGTTTACTCAAAGCTGATAATAGGCGAAAAATTGTCATACTTTCCTGATCTTCAACCTTAAAATTAACCAATAAGAGACATGTACCCAATGGTATAAAACAGATTCCCAGTCATTTCTCTTTTCATTTTTATTCAGAGTTAGCCTCAGATCTAAACATGGCACAGCAGTTTGCGTGTTAACAATTGAGACAGAATTGTCTCGTTTGGCTCTGGCAACTTCAAAAAGATGGTATGATAGAAAATTCATAAGAAATTGTTGAGATTTTGACAGAATGTCCAACATTCACTTCAAATGAATAAAGTCTCGAGCATTACTTATTTGCTGTTTGATAAAGGCTGTGGACCTTTGGCCTTCACAAATACATTGACTACACCAAGTAAGAGTCCCATTTTGTTGCTGTTGTACGTTTAATGAGCTTTATGTTAGATGAGCACTCTTTGGTCACATTTTAAAAATAAAATCTATATTCTTTGAATTCTTAACCAGTACTTTAGACCCCATAATCTTCATTTTGCTCTCCAACCAGCAGAGACCATCTTTTCTGTTTGTGTATAGACTGATTTGATCATTTGTCAGAAGTCAAGGAATTAAGTGATAACTGACTAGGGCGTCTTGTTCGATCCCAGACCCTAGACCTTGGAAAATCTTGTCTGTCATCTATTCCAATACGGATACTAATTTGAGATGGTGTATATTGTTTCATGTGGCCCTCTGCTTGAGATTCAAGCTTTTCTATATCTGGCTTCTTGTAGCTGAAATGGAGAACAGCAAGACAGACCATTAATTAAACTCAGAGTTCTGGACATGCATAGAAACCATTTTAAACACTGAGCAGGATCGATTATTTCTGTACATCAGTAAAATAGAGCTTAATCTTCAATTCTAAAAGAATACAAGTAATAGATCATAAATTGTCTGATTCAAATCGACAGGCAAAGCAAAAAATTGCTTTTGTTTTCAATCATATTATTTATGCAATTATATATTATTTATTTGACCATATTATTTATCTCAATCACTGTTGTAACGGTGCAAGTTCTTGCAGGATTGTAGGACTCTAAAAGGTTACAGAAATAGGAATGAGTAAAGTCACAAACTAAGTCCCACACAAGGATAAGAGAATTTTAAATTTGTAACATTGGGAGAACAAGAGGAAACAGCAGTCATTTGAGAACAGGGCTTGGGTTGCTGAGTAAGAGGTTTGGATGGAGTCTAGGAATGGGAGAATGGAAGGATAGGCACGCAAACATTGGGATAATCACCTTTTTCGGTTAGAAAAGGCCTAAGGTGGGCTGAAATAGAGGTGGAAATAGACAAAGTTATGGAGATGAAAGTAGCCTTGTTTGGAATCTGGAGAATATGGATCTGGAATCTCAATCTCAGGTTCATCAGGATGTTAGCGCTGCAGTCTGCTCAGTGTAAAACACTAGTCAAGGAGAGGGATGATTTAGGTGTCAAAGGTACAGAGCTTGTGATAGAAGCTAAAGGCAGTGGCCTTGGTCTTTCCAGGACCGGAAAAATGAGGGTCATCCAGAGATGGATGTTGGACAAGCATGCTATCAACTTTAAAGTGTAGAAGTTTTGGCAATATTGAAGAGAAAAGGAGCCAAGAGTAGTCAAAGTACATATGGAACCTAACCCCACACTTTTGAGTGATGTTGCAAAACAGAACTAAACAGATGAAGAGGAGGAGGTCAAAGATAGATCCTGGGAGACTCCAGAGGTAAAAGCAGAGTTAGGAAGAGAAGTCATTGCTACAGACAAGTTAATGACTGTAGAGTTAATCATGTAACTAAGCAGTTGATTCAGTTAGATAGTGAAGGAAGATTACACAATCAATCGTGCTGAAGATGCAAAGTGGTTGACCAGAATATTAACTTGTACTCAGTGTAGTAAAACATCTACAGAAACATTATCAAACAAAATTTGACACTGAGGAGGTATTTGATCAAAGAGCATCTTAAAGGAAAAACAGAGGGGCTCAGGGAAAGCATACCACAGTTTAGCAACTGCACAACTGATCACATGGGCACCAATGGGTGAAGAGTTCAGAATTGGGGATGCACAAGAGATCAGAATTGGGGATGCACAAGAGATCAGAATTGGGGATGCACAAGAGATCAGAATTGGGGATGCACAAGAGATCAGAATTGGGGATGCACAAGAGATCAGAATTGGGGATGCACAAGAGATCAGAATAGGGGATGCACAAGAGATCAGAATTGGGGATGCACAAGAGATCAGAATTGGGGATGCACAAGAGATCAGAATTGGGGATGCACAAGAGAGCAGAATTGGGGATGCACAAGAGATCAGAATTGGGGATGCACAAGAGA